ATTTTTAGAGGGAGGAAACGGGAGAGAGGGAGAGAAAGAGGGAAAGAGAAACATTGCTGTGAAAGAGAAATGTTAATCAGTTGCCCTACCCTACATTCCATAAGCGCCAGAACTGGGGATGTAACCCACAACCTAGGTATGTGCCCTGACCAGGAATTGAACTGACAACCTTTGGTGTATAGGATGATGCTCCAACCACTTGAACCACAGTGACCAGGGCTCCTGGTACTATGATTTCATTTTTTTTTGCTTATTAAAATATATTCTTTTATGGTAATTATTTATTTGTATTTATGTATGCTAAATGCTATACTTCTCTGAATTGTCTATAGATAGCTTTGTTTTCTATCAAAATATTAGCACACAGGTCTCTCGTGTAATAAAATAATTGCACCATATTAACATTTCAAATACAAAGATTTTGTAGGTTCTGGAATGCCTTTCATTCTTGAAGTTAACTATCATATCTGTACAAGGCCTAAGATTACTTTTGTTTTAAGTATTACTAAGTTTTAATTGATGCATTTATATATTTATGCATCGTATATGGGATGATCTCAGTGGTTTTTATTTTATTTTTTAATTCCAGTTTACTTTCAACAGTATTTTATATTAGTTTCAAGTGTACAACATAGAGGCTAGACAATCATGTACTTTTACAAGGTGTTCCCCCGATATTTCAAGTACCCATCTGGCCCCATACATAGTTATTACAATATAGTTGACTACATTCCCTATGCTGTACTTTACATCCCCATGACTATTTTTGTAACACCAATTAGTACTTCTTAATCCTTTTACTTTTATACCTGGCTCCCCAAACCCCGTCTCTTATGGCATCTGTCAGTCTGCTCTTTTTATCTGTAAATCGGTTTCTACTTTGTTTGTTTACATTGAGGAAACTTTGTACTGTTTTCCACAGTGGCTGCACTAATCAGCATTTTCATTAGCAGTGCAGAGGGTTCCCTTTCCTCCACATCATCACCAACACTTGTTGTTTGTGGATTTATTGATAATAGCCATTCTTACAGGTGTGATGTGATATTTCATTGTGGTTTTAATTTGTATTTCTCTGGTGATTAGTGACGTTGAGCATCTTTTCATATGTCTGTTGGCCATCTGTATGTCCTCGTTAGAGGAGTGTCTATTCAGGTCCTTTGGTCATTTTTTAGTTGAATTTTTTTTTTTTTAGTGTTGAGTTGCATGAGTTCTCTCTCTCTCTGTCTCTCTATCTCTCTATCCACACACACACACACACACACACACATATATCTCACATGATATGTACTCTTTTCTGTGTCTGGCTTCTTTTGGTCAGCATAATGTTTTTGAGATTCTTCCTAATTGTTATACATATTAGTAGTTTGTTCCTTTTTATTGTTGTTACTCTGTTGTCTTGATATAGTATACTTTGTTTATTCATTCTTTTGATAACTATTTGGATTATTTCTAGTGTTTGGCTATTCACAAAATTTCTATCAAAATTTGTAGACAAGTCTTTGTATAACATGTTTTCATTATTTTGTGCGTAAATATCTAGGAGTAGAATGACTAGATTATTAGAGTAGGTATATGCTTATAAGAAACTTCCAAATTATTTTCTGAAAGTAGTTTTACCATTTTACACTCCCACTAGCAATTCATGAGTTGCTCCATATCTTCAGTAACACTTGAGATTGTCGATCTTTTTTTTAGTTATTCTAATGGATAGGTGGTGATGTCTCACTTTGAAATTCACATGCTGAAATCTCTGAACCCCCCTTCTGTCCCTATCTTACCAGCTATCACTTTGGACTTTCAATTTTAAAAAATGAATGACAACAATCATGCTCAACAAAATTAATGATAGAACATTAATTTAGCATTTATCATTTTCCTAACCTCAGAGTATAAGTTTCATGAGGGCAAGACCTATCTGGTTTCATTGTACCTAGCACAATGCGTTGTATACAGTGTACACATTTTTTAGTTATCTCTTGCTATGTAATAAATTACCCCACATCTTAGCAGCTTAAATAACAAACATTAATTGTTTTGCAACAATTTCTGAGGGCTAGGAATCCAGGAGCAGCTTTGTTGAGTAGTGCTGGATCAACTTCTCTTATGAGGTTGCGGTTAAGCTATTGGTTGGTGCTGCAGTCATTTGAAGGCTTGAGTGGGGCTGAAGGACTGACTACCAAGATTACGCACTCACACAGCTGTTGGCTGGAGGTCTCAGTTCCTCGCTGCCTGTTGTCAGCAGTCCTCAGTTCCTTGCCATGTGAACCTCTCTATTGGGCTTCTCAACACAGCAGCTCATTTACCAAAAGTAAGTGATCTGAGGGACATAAAGATAGAAGTTGAGTACACAGACCAATCAGGAGATGAAAATGGTTGGGGGCCACCCAGAAAGCTGGCTAACACAGTATATACTGAATATTTATTGACTGAACCAATCAGTGTGTGCCTGATACTCTGCTAATCATTTTACTTATACCATCTCATTTAATTCTGATAACAACCCATGGACCATTGCTCTTATTTGAGGTTGACGAAATTTAGGCTTATAAAAGTTAAGCAATGTGTCCGGTTCTGCAAAACTATAGGTGGCAGAGCCAAAGTTCAAAGCTAGACCTCTCTAACCCCAAAGGCTGTGAAAAATGGTTCACACTGAAAATGAATGAATTGTACTTTTGAAAAGAAAGTGATTTAGATGATCTTTTAATTTTTGTTCACATTGATTATAAAACTTATTTGTATATAGGGAAGAAACTAGAAATTATATCAACGTGGAAAACTTACTCTTCAGAAGGATAAAAAAATTGGTTCCCTATTGTTCAGTTGACGAGGTGTTCTCATTTTTTTCCCCTTTTTTACCAGACTAATGTTTCAAAGTCTTGGCAGATCCTTGGAAACAAGGGAAGTCAAGAATTCTGCCACTGACTTTCAGTAGAGTCAGCACAGCTTTGCTGGACATACACTGTGCATCTGGCACTGTGGGAGCTGCAGGGATCTACAAAGCAAGTGAGACTGTTCTTGGTGTCTAAGAGGTCACAGTCTCCTTGGGATTAAGGTGATAACTAATATAAGGAAGGGTAAGCACCATGGAGAGGCACACAGGGAATGTTAGCAAAATTTTCCTTTTTTAAAAGACCAACCACATCTTTAAAACACATTTGATGGTTATTAAGATAATTTAGTGTGATAATCTCTGAAAGTCAATAGAAGATTAAGATGAAGGAGGCTTCCTTTCCCTTTTCCTGCCCTTCCTTTCTTTGGCACTTGAAAAACTTGCAAAGACAGTGGCTTGCTCACTACAATGGCATACTCAGACTCTCAGGAGCCACAGCTTTCTGCTAAAGGTGGCACAAAATGAGTTTCTGAGATGCAAGAATGAAAGAAGAGTGGCTAAGATTAAAAGTCCAGATAACCTTCACTGAGAACGTAGGAATCACGCAAGGACAAGCAAAAGAGAGTGTGAAGAGGGTAGGGACACGGAGTTTAGGGGTTCCTCGGGTTTAAAGAGTTAAGGTGATAACGCTTGGCTAGAAATGCCTTCCTAGTTGAGTTGAAATGAAGAGTCCTCCCACTCGCGGGCGTGGGGGTGGGGGTGGGCGCGAGTGGTTTTGGGAACTGTCCTGTGCAAAGTTGGAACTAAGAGGAGAGTCTGTGAGGCTACATATGTCTTGCCAAAAAAAAAAAAAAATCGATATTCAGAACAAAATTTATTTTGGCCACTGAACATGCTCAACTTTCAGTCTTCTGCAGAAGTGCAGATTTGGTGGCTGTAGATTTTATCTTCGGCAGCTGGAGGCGGAAATGAGGGTGGCAGAGGTGACAGGTGAAACCTGGCGTTTGAGTAGAGTGGAAGGCGAAAGTCTGAGGACTAGGGGGCAGCCAGGAGGGGTGTCACAAATCCATCAATGTGATTGGCTCTCAGCTGGTGGGCAACCCTTTATGAAAGAGCTTGTTTGGCTATTCTGAGATTGTGAGTATGATACAGTTAGTTACAGGAGCAGAGGGGCAATTTAGGGTTCTGGCCCTTGTCCTTGAGTATGAATCCGCGTCGAAGAATGGTCGTGATTACCCATTTCCTCCAGGGTCCTCCCAGCTACTGTTTTTTGGACTGCAAAATACCCTTTACAAGGGACTTGATGTCGGTGCAGACAACAGGAGCTGGATGGAGATGCTCATCAGGCAGTCCCCGCGCGATCTGCACCACTTCCCACGGCTTGTACTTCCACACCAGCCCAGACTACACGCCAGGATCCAAAGATGTGGCCAGGCAGAACAGGCTCAGAAACTCACCTTTGCCAGCTCATTTTTCCATTTGAGCTACAGATGGGGTGCAGTCACACCTATGAGACTCTTTCACTCCTATACTTTTGGCAGCATGGGAATTTCCTTTTACTATGTATATAAACAACGATGACTGAAGATGTGCTCGTAGGTTACACAGCCTGCAGGCGGTGCCCGCGGACCAGAGGGCACAGCAAGGGCCGGGCAGCCGTGCAGGACTCACACTCTGCGGCTTTTGTCAACAGCGAGCATACAAGTGGCCAAGAAAGCAGCAGCCAGGGCGGCGGAGCCCCCTCACAACCACGCCGCCTCCTGTCTGCCCAGGCGCCCTCTGCGCACGAGGTACGCCTCGGTGCGGTCATGCCTGACCCCGGAAGGGAAAGTTGTTTTGGGGAAGGGGAGCCCACGAGCAGAGGAGAGCCCGTTAAGTAAAACTAAAAATCAAAGTTGTTCTGCTCCTCTCAGGCTGCCTTTCCCCTGCCTCGTCTTTGCACTAGTCTTCTTCGCAGTCTGGCTTCCTCAGAGGGCCAGATGTTTCCCAAGTCTTAGTCTAAGTGAGGGGTCAGTGAGCCCTCCGCAGGCTCCACGACCCTCTCCTGATCCAGATCGCCAGGAAAACCCGGAGCGGAGCATCACCGGGCGAGGAAACGCCCTCGTCGCGCGCCCACTAGCGCGCATGCTCAGTTGCGCAGAGCCAGCGAGTAGGAAGCTCTACGCGGCAGTAGCAGCGGCGGCGCGGAGGCTGGAGAGTGGGAGGGGACGCACCGGCTGGCGGGCCGGGGCGCTGGGACGAGGCTGTGGCTCCCACCGGAGGTTCCTGGGAGCGTTTCGGGTCACGAAGGCCCGCGCGAAGAGCGAGAGAGCACGGGAGGCAGCGAGCGCGCAGTGGGCTGCGGGCAAAGCGGAGCGGAGCCGCCGGGCGGAGCGGGCTCAGAGCCCGGGTCTCCGCGTCTCGGGACCCGGCGGCGGGGGCGGCGATGTTCCACTGCATCCCCCTGTGGCGGTGCAACCGTCATGTGGAGACCATCGACAAGCGACACTGCTCGCTGGTGTACGTCCCTGAGGAAATCTACCGCTACGCCCGCAGCCTGGAGGAGCTATTGTTGGACGCCAACCAGCTCCGCGAGCTGCCCGAGGTGAGTGCCCGGCCTCACCTGAGCGCCGCCTTGGGGGAGCGCGGCCTGACCAGCCCTCGCCTCCTCCTCTCCCTTCACTGGTCCCCTCCGCTCTCACTTGTTCCCTTTTCACCTCCAGATCCGGCCGGCAGGTCCCGCTGGAACCACCTTTACCTGCATCCACCTGCTTCTTTTTCCTTTTATTCCCTCCCACCGCCCCGTAAAAGTTTTTTTAAAAATCATTTTTTACAAATCAACTTGATACTTTCAAATTAGTCATTAGAACTTGTGCGGTTTGGGGAAGTATTCTGAGCTGATGAGTAGTTTAGATACACTCCTAGGAACTAACACCTGGCAGGTAAGGAGCCAGGTGGCGCGGGTTGTTTCCTGCTGGAAGGACGGAACCACGGCTTCCCGCTCCCGGGGCTGGTGCCCTAGCCCTGCAATTTCCCAGCCACTGCCGGGGAGTGCCTCCTCTTTGGCCAGGGCAGGTCCTGGATGAGGTGGGCAGGCGCAAATGAGCCGCTCTATCTCGGCATCTAGCGAGGAATGTGCTCCGGGCCTTATCGCGGTGTATCGTGCTTGGGAGAGCTGTAGCTTGGCCGGCCTACCTTAGCCCCAGGGGCGGCCGCGAGGTGGAGGGGGTGGGGGTCGGGGGCAGGAGGAGGGTGCGCCTCAAGAGCTGTGGGCAGGTGCCCAGGTGGCCTCCGCTTGGACCTGTCCGTGTGGACCTGTTGTGTGGAAGCAGCCTCGGTGAGCGCCGGCAGAGGCTCTGCCCGGCAGGGCCGCCTTGCAGACCCCTCTCCCGCAGCGGCCGCATTCAGCCCGCGGACTTCTGCCCTGGCAGTACTGTGTTTTATGTGAATTAATCAGTATACTGCGGCCGAACTTGTCAAGCGACACAGGCTGATTGTGCTTTAATGTTAGTCAGGGACTGCAAACTTTTAGCCTTCGGGCTTCCCTCTGGAGCTTGGTTTGAGTAACCCTTTAGAGAAAGGTATCCCAAATCCAGGGATGTGCAGGAAGTCAGTGTGCCAGAATCCAAAGGTGTGCAGGAAGTAGAGAGGCCTCAGGGAGTCCGGCAGGGCTTGAAGCCCGGAGCGTTGGAAGGCAGATAACTTGCTTGTCCTTCAGTTAACACAAAGCCAAGACGTCACAGAAACACTGAATAGTTAAATGTTCTGACTTGTTAGAATGACCTGATACGGTCTCCAGAGCTGACAGAGTTAAGGTTTAAAAAGGAGAACTGTGTGCTTTTCTCAGTATTTCAAGTGTTGTTATTCTTCTTGGATTAATTTTCCTTAGTTCGTGTGGAATTGATTGGATGCTTTGCTCTGTGTAATCACAGGGATTATCCTCACTAGGATCTCTGCAAAGTCCCCCAGGCATTATTTAGCTTAGAAGCAGAAAAGCCATCCATTTCTCTCAAGCTTTTATTATTTTGCAGGCACTTTCAAACTCATGGTTTTGTCTGGCCTTTAGCTTTCTTAAATTTAACTTAAAAGTCATAAATAAGCTCACTTACTGCCTTAAGTTGTAATAAGTTTTAGGTGTTGAATTGCCAGAAGTATATTCAATAGAATATGTAATTTAATACTTTTCAAGGGCTTCAGAATGCAGTTATTAAAGATTGAGTGAAAAGCTGTTCAACGAGAAATGTTTCAGTGCTCTTTGTGGTGTTTTTGTTTGTTTGTTTTCTTTTGTAAAACTGGAAAATTTTCTTTGACTAGATTGGCTTTTCACTCCCTTCTGCAAAGGTTGTGGGTTTTCCTGTAATGTTGGGGATTTCAGCTTGGTATGGGAATTACAGGTTTTGGAAATGTCAGTGATTTCTACTGATCCTAAATGGAAACTTCTGAGAAGCTCAAAATACAGTCCGATTGCACTCTGTAAGTTGAGTAAACGAACACATTTTTCAAAGGCTAAAGGTAGTCTTATGGGTAGTTATCTCTCTTACAGCTCTTAAATTAGTTTTATAGTTTTCAGGTGGTACAAAAATCTCTTTCCCCTTGACTTCCTGTATGCCTGAGTGCCTGGGAGTGTGCAAGCCAGATATGAACAGCCACTTTGAAAACACAGATAATTCTTTTAAAAAATGTTTAAAAATTATTTTTATTTTTAATCGTTCATTCTTACTGTATTTTTCCCGCTATTTTATCCCCCCCACCCTTGTCCACTTCCACCCCACCACCCCGAATCACCACACTGTTGTCAGAGTCCATGAGTTCTTTCTCTTTTCCCTTGATCTGAGCCGCACCCCCCCACCCCCTCCCCCAGCCCCCAGCCCCCAGCCCCCAGCCCCCAGCCCCCAGCCCCCAACCCCAGCTGTCAGCCTACTCTCTGTTTCACTCATAGTTCAAGTCTTTCCTTGGGCTATCCGATCTTTCACCTCTGATATCTGTATGACTCAGCACTACTCACTGCTGTCCCTGCCCCCTCTGCCACCCTCTTGTTTCCTTACCTGCCACATCACCAGTGGGCCTCTCTTGCTGACAGACCTCCAAGGTTCTTGTGGTGGCCATACTGGCTGCATGTTCTCTCTGTAATATTTCTGGAAGCACAGCCAAAAGAGGGATCCTGTAACCCCTACCTCAACAGCAGAGATACATACAACTCTCCCAGCTTCAGCTTAAAGAAAAGCATCTCCTCGCCACTGAAAAGTCTGCAACCTCTGATTTGCTCCAACCCCCTCATTTTACAAATTGAAACTCATAATTGAAATGTCTTTTTCAGGTCTGTCCAGCTGGTTAGATACAGAGTCATTGGTTGTCCTTCTGTACATGGGTCCACCAACTCTAACAGCTTTATCCAGCTTAGTGGGAATATGGCCTCGCACCCACCAAACCAATGGTTTTCTGGCCCTTCCTGTTTAACTCCTCATTAAAGTGGGCCTCAATCGAACATTTATTGACCCTTCGTTATCTGCTAGATATTAAAGAAGGGGTGTTTCCTATGAGTTTTTTGCAGCTTTGTGGGGAGACAGATGATTTTAGTACAGATGTGGTAACTGTGGGGTGGAGCAGGCACCACAGTTATCTAACTTGATGGTTACTTCCCTGATCTTCTAAGCTTTTGTTGAACGGGCACCAACCATCCTCAGCAGTGGTTCCATCTCCTGATAGCTTCTCAGTGCCACTATTCTGTAAGGAAGGTTTAGAAAACTCGTCTTTAGCCTGGCCCTAGTTGGATGATAGTCACACCATCCCTTTCCCATCCACCTGCTTCTCTCTACTTTCCCCAGCTCAGTTCCTTTGGGATGTGTATTGAGACATGGTCAGACTTGAACCTTCTTGAGGGGCCCACATGTTTTTGCTCACCCTTGAGAGCACAGAGCCTAGGACCCTGTCGGTCCTGCTTAATCAACAACTGTTTATATGTTGAATGAATGTTGCTGAGTCTAATACAAATCTTCCCCCTCTGCTTCTTTCTATTTCCTTAAGCATATCACCGCTCCGGCATCTATGCTTTTCTGACATGCTCAGAAAATATTCAAGTTGGAAACGACTTCAGAAGTAAAGATCATTTAATGGTGAAATTGTTTTGTCTTCCTCTTCAAGATCCTCACCTTCCCTTCTGTGCTTCCGTGTATTCGATGGCATCAGTATTCCCCTTAGTGTGCACTGCTGCTCAAATACCTTCAAATATGTGTGCCTAGTCTAATAGGTAGCAGATATTTTGAGTGAATGCTTTCAAGCCTTTATAGCATAAAAACTGGTTTCATCTCTCACCTCTACTTAGAGTTCAATTAAAGTTCTTTCTGTGATTGCCAGATGACACTATTTCAAACACCTGCCCCTTCCCATCATCCTTTCTCACATCCTTCTTAATTTTTTTTCTAGTCCTCAGAACACTTTACTGAAACCTAACTCCAGACTATATACTTGCTTACTTTTTCTTTGTCTGCCCGGCTAGAACATAAGCTCCGCAAGGGCAGGGATATTTTGTTTGTGGCTCAGCCTAGGACAGTATATATCTGGTACATAGTGGGTACTCATATGCTTCTTGCTCAAATGGTCCTTAACATGGTGTCATGGGTAGACTGCTTCTGTTTCTTAGCTATAATAATTCCCTTCTTACAGTCTGACTTCTGCTGTACACCAGTCTATTGAAATTATTAATGACACAAAATCAGTCAATTCAGTGGTCTTCTTTGCCAGTCTTTGTTCTCTGTCTCTTCTGTGCTTGACACTTTTGACCTCCTTGTATTTTTGAAATAATATTTATGAATGCGACTTCAACATCTCCAGCTGTGAACTTAATAAGAGGATATCTACCCCACTTGGAATAAGGAAGTCCCTTTTGTCTTAAACCCACCATACCTTGTTTCCTGACCTGGCTGCATTTCCCTGCAGTTTCATTTCTGAAGGATGGGCAGCCATTCTTTTGTCTCACAGGTTCATGGACTTATCTTCTTACTACTCATCTTGCCACTAAGTCCTGTCATTTTTTTCATTCAAAATGCCTTCTGTCCTCTCTCAGTCTGTCTGCACCACCTGACTGGTTTCCCCTGGATTCCTGCTGTTCATTGCTGGTTCTCTTCTGCTGAAGCTCTTAGGGCTTGTTGTGAAGGAGTAGAGAGCGAGGGTGCGAGAATCAGTTCATAGCAGCTCCATCACTAGGATGCTTTCTTCAAGCCTTGGTTTCCTCACGTGATAGTAGTGTCCACTTTATGGCGCTCTTCTGGAGATTAAAGAGATGAGCATGCAAAGCAGTCTTAGTTAGGTCTAATATGTCGTAAGGTCTTTCTGGGTATTATGGCAAGAAACTTTTATTATAAAACATTATTTCCTCTTAAACTGGAATTTGAAGGCTTCTTTTTCCTGGGAGTTTGTAATTGATTTTTTAAAACCACAATTAAATTTTTACTCTTTATGAAAATAATTAAAAAAATAGATTCTGTAATAACTATATTACTTTACAGTGTCCATGTTTGATTTAGCATTCCTTTGTAGTGAAGGGGAAGAGAACAGATGTGGACTTACTGCAGAAATCGCATGTTTGGGTCAGATGATGGCTGGAAG